AAAAAAAAAAAAAATTGAGGCTGGTGCAGTGGCACACACCTGTAGTCCCAGCTACTCAAGAGGCTGAGGCACAAGAATCACTTGAATCCAGGAGGCAAAGGTTGCAGTGAGCTGAGATTGTGCCACTGTACTCCAGCCCCTGCAAAAAAACATTGAGACTTTCAAGCATAGCCTTCCAATCCTATCTGTAGTTTTATGTGCTATAGAAAACCACACAGTGCCAAAAAAATAGACATTTGAATGGAGAAACCCCACTTCACTTTGTCCCTTTTGTTGCATCTATGGAAGGGACTCAACCCACCAACATCTCCTTTCAAGTCATTACTATACAGGGGTGAGATGAAAGTTACTAGTGCAATGGATGTTAGGGATCAGGAGTCATTTCACAGTCTCTGGAAACCAAGCCAACATAGCTCCTCCTCTCCAGCCCAATTGGATTTTTCCAAATTAAGCGTATTTATGGCAGGATGGCATTGAGCAAGGCTCCCAACTGAGAGACACCATAGATTTTGTTTCAGTAATCAATGGGAAACAAATATGTACTGTCTTGGGGTCACCTTAAATCTTTTGTGGATCCTGCAGGAATAAAGGCTTAAGTGACAAAACAGTTTGAAGAAAAAGGCACAATTCTACTTTCCTTTTGCTTTGCAAAGATGAAAAGGGAGGATGGCACTTTTCTGTGGGAGCTGCGGGAAAGAGCAGAAGAGCCCACTGTGCCTGATGTTGCAAGTCCACAGTGGGGACTCTAACTTGCTGGTCCTCCCAGCATGAGTCAGGGATCTAGACAGATTCACAAAGGCAGGCCCCCGCATGGGCCAGGCTCACAGCTCCCGTTCGCCCTTCTCTTTCATGCCTGGCCCAGGCTCCGTATACAGCAAGTATTCAATTGATGGTTGTTGAAAGAAATGAAAAGGGGCCACTGAAAATCCCAGGGAGCCTCAGCCTGCTCTCTGGCAGCCCTGTTACGTAACTAGTTAGCGTTTGTTTCTAACAGGAATTTACTGACATTAAATATGATTTGTTCTTTTTTTTTTGCACACACATAAAGCCATTTTCTCAGAAACCTCACCAACCTAGGGGTTCTTTGGGGAACTCTGAAATAAGCAGAGAAATCAGATAATGGGATTTCTGCTTTACAATAAAGATCTGCATAGTTCCAGAAGTCACAGACTTGAAAGCGTAACTGGCAAACGTATCCAAAATAATAGGATAATATCATTTCTCGAGGTTGAATGTAAGAAGAGGGATAATTGAAGGCAAAAGGGGCTAAAACTCATAGGCCACAAAGAAACACAGAAAGTAACACAGAAACCACTCGAATATTAAATCTAGAAAGAAATAAAAATGGCCAGGTGCAGTGGCTCACACCTGTAATCCCAGCACTTTGGGAGGCCGAGGTGGGCGGACTGCTTGAGCTCAGGAGTTCGAGACCAACCTGGGCAACATGGTGAAACGCTGTCTCTACCCAAATACAAAAAATTAACCAGGCATGGCAGCATGCACCTGTAGTCCCAGCTACTCAGGAGGCTGAGGCAGAAGAACTGCTTGAACCCGGGAGGTGGAGGTTGCAGTGAGCTGAGATCACGCCGGGTAGCAGAGTGAGATTCCATCTCAAAAAGAAAGAAAGAAAGAAAAGTAAATAAAACAAAATAACTTAGCTATCTAATGTCAAAGCTGCTCAGAATTTCTTGCCTGTCCAGCAGAAAAAGCTGTCAGGGGCTTTGCCCTCCCCTGCAGGCCCAACACAACATCAGAGGGCCCTAAATTCCCAGGACGCAACCTGCTGGTGACAGATCTGTGCCGAATGCAACTGACCAAGAGGAGAAAAGGGTGAGAAAGCTTCTCTTTCTGGGTATCTTAAAAAAAAAATAAAGTGACAGAGCTGCAGGGTAGTTAGTCAAACCACAGCTGCAGATACCCCGACAAGTGTTGAGCTTTCCGTGACATTCTTCCTTTTACAGGTGCTGAGCAACTACTCACAAACTTAACTGCCGCTCATTGTGCTGGTGCTGGCTGCAGCTTTTTTCTGCAGTATCTGTTTCGCATATCCCTCTGCAGAGGGCCCAATGGGAATGATGATGCAGAAATCATATCTCTCTGAAGTTGTTTTATATGCAGGAAATTAGAGAAGGAAGGGAATGTGGAGAAAAGTGAAACACTTTGGAAAGCCACCCCAAAGCGCAGATTAAAAAACAAAACAAAACACCTCATCTCACCATGAATGATCTCCTACCTACAGCTTAGTGATGTACTGAGGGCAGCAATCTCCTCGTGTCCTTTCTCCATTGTGAGCATCTAATGCTGGTACCTGGTCTTGCAGCTGCCTCTTGGATGTCAGTGCAAGAGAGATTTCTCATTCTCTCTGCAGAAATGTAAAAAACCTGACAGTTCAGTCCTAAAGGGGCTCAGACTGGTAGATATCAAGGGAAAGACTGGTGCTTTTCCTGGCACTGCTGAGCTGCTATCATACACTGTATCCCTATCCCATGGAGGCCAAAGGGCTGAGACCTTGCTCTCTGATAAATCTGATCGGGTACATGAACTACATTTGAAAGCAGGCAGCAAATTTAGAGAAGAAAAAGCTTAGGGTTTGGATTCCATCTTTGAAAGTGTCAGGGCACATTATTTAAAAGTAGTAATTACAGGGAATTTCTGATTCAGAAACTGCTATGGCCAGTATAATGAGTCACTTTTGCTAAGGAAACAGTATTCTGGGCTGGGATCCCCTCAATTTCAGCATTTACAGGCCAAGGAATGGCTCAAGGGGATGCGCACGGTCAAAATTAAAAGAGGGGCATATCTGGAATAACTGGTTTTGCCCTTGAGGAGCCGATGCAGCTGTTCCCCTCTTAATATTTCTCACACCCACATTTGAAAGATTATGACTTTGATGTCACATCCCAGAACGAGTTCTGGTTAACTTCACTTTTTAGAATTAAAGAAAGGGAACTGAGGCTGGGTGCTGCGGCTCATGCCTGTAATCCCAGCACTTTGGGAGGTCGAGGTGGGCAGATCACCTGAGGTCAGCAGTTCGAGACCAGCCTAGCCAACATGGTGAAATCCTGTCTCTACCAAAAATACAAGAAAAAAATTAGTCAGGCGTGGTGGTGGGCGCCTGTAACCCCAGCTACTTGGGAGGCTGAGGCAGGAGAATCACTTGAACCCGGGAGGCAGAGGTTACAGTGAGCTGAGATTGCAGCATGCACTCTAGCCTAGGTGACAGAGTGAGACTCCGTCTCAAAAAAAAAAAAAAAAAAAAAAAATGGGGGGGACTAAGCAATAAAGTCTAAAATACAGTAGTTTTCTCTTATGTTTTCTAGATGTATAAAGAAGCCCTTGGTGAGACATTTGGAAACACTGGCCAGGGACAAAGATGTAATGTGATCTAAGAGAGGGAAAATGAAGTCCTAGGTCCTAAGGAAAAAAAAGGGAAGAACAAAAAATATTCCCATCTAAAGACTTCGGGTTTTAGCTGCTGAAGTTAGGGTTAGGTTTAAAGGGAAAAACGTTCTCAATATTTTTCTTTTTTTTGTTTGTTTTTTTTTAACATGAGCAAGGATTTCAGGAATCAAATCTCAATATTTTTCAAATTTTTGCCTTCACATATCTAAATATAATTTTAGGAACAAGAAATATGGATTTTTTGTGTTTTAAGCTAATAAAATGAATTTATTTTAAAAACATAAAACCAGCTCCTTTGAGAATGAAAAAGAGAAACATAAGAAAATGAGTACTGAATATAGTATTTCAATTTTTCTCCAATGTCTTAAAATTGGTGACAACCTTTAAAAGGAAAGTATGCTGAACTGAGTCTACTTCATCTCTAGACTTCAATTTCCCTCTTTAAAATGGGGAGATCAGGCCGGGTATTGTGGTTCACACCTGTGAACCCCGGCACTTTGGGAGGCCAAGGCAGGTGGATTGCTTGAGCCCAGGAGTTTGAGACTGGCCCAGGTAACATGGGGAAACCTGTCTCTACGAAATTAGCATGGTGGTACGCACCTGTAGTTCCAGGCACTCAGGAGGCTGAGGTGGGAGGACTGCTTGGGCCCGGGAGGAGGAAGTTTGCAGTGAGCCAGGATCGTACCACTGCACTCCAGCCTGGGTAACACAGTGAGACTGTGTCTCAGAAAAAGAAAAAAAGAGGGAGCGGGGACTGCTGTACCTGCTGCTCTATGTATCTCACATATTTCTTCTGACAAGGGCTAATGTGAGAATGAAAGCTTGTTGACAAGAAAAAACATAAACATCATAAATATCACAAGACTTCATTCATACAAAGCTCTAAGAGGCAAACCTAAGCTACGGTGATAGAAGTCAGGTCAGTGGATGCTTCTGGGTAGGAAGGACTGAAAACAGGCATGAAGGACCTCTGAAGTAATGAAATGATCTTGCAGGTACTGGCCACCTGTACACTTAAGAGTCAAGCATTTCACTTGGTGTAAATTAAACAAATATTTTTTAAAATGTGCTGGGCACAGTGGCTCATCCCTGTAATCCCAGCCCTTTGGGAGGAGGCCAAGGCGGGTGGATCACCTGTGGCCAGGAGTTCGAGACCAGCCTGGCCAACATGGTGAAACCCTGTCTCTACCAAAAATACAAAAATTAGCTGGACATGGTGGTGGGCGCATGGGAGGCTGAGGCACAAGAATCGCTTGAATCCAGGAGGCAAAGGTTGCAGTGAGCCAAGGTCGCACCACTGCACTCCAGCCCAGGCGACAGAGCAAGACTCGGTCTCCAAAAAAAAAATTATTTTTAAAAAACAACAAAATAGGCCAGGTGAGGTGGCTCATGCCTGTCATCCCAGCACTTTGGGAGGCCAAGAACCTGAAGACATATGAGAAACATACACACAAAAATTTGCATCACATTGCAGACAAGGCCTATTTTCCTACATAAAAAGTGACTACAAATAGGAGAATGGCAGAGGATGTGAACAGTTCACAGGAAGTGAATTAATATAATGGTTCAAGCTTATTTATAAGAATAAGTTACAAGGGAACTTAGAAACTGAAACTGCAGTGAGACAGCACCTGCCAGCTGCTGAATTGATAAAGATCCAAGAGTCTAATAACACCCCATGTTGATGCTGATGCGGGTAAATGGGCACTCTCATTTGAGGCTAGTGACAGTCTGAAATGCTATAATCTCTGAGGCAAATTGGTAACAGCCATTAAAATTGCAAAGGTCCTTACCCTTTGACCCGGTAATTTTGCTTCTAGGACTTTACACGTGGAAAACTACGTAGGTCCAAAATTATTCATGCAGCATCCTTTCTAATAGCAAAATATTATAAATACCGATCCACAGGACTGGTTTAAAAGATGACGACACAGCAGAGCTGAGCACATCTGTGGCTCCAGCTACATAGGAGGCTGAATGGCGAGGATCGTTTGAACCCAGGATTTGAGGCCAGCCTTGGCAACGCTGTAAGACCCCAACTCTAAATACGTTAAACGATAACACAGCATATGGACATATGGAATACTATGTATACATGCAGAAGAATGAGGCGGTTCTACATATGCTTTTATGCAACCCTCTCCAAGATATTAAATGAAAAAAACAAGATGCAAAGTACATGTAGTATGCTACTATTTCTAATTAAACATATGAATATTAATAAAACATAAATATCTGTGCATTTACAAATACATAGGCTATCCTGGAAAGGATAAACAAGAAAAGTCAATAGCAGTTTCCTCTAGAAAGGAAGCTGGGTAGCTGAGGAATAGGGTGAGGGCCTGATTTTCCATCATTTACCTTTTTTATAACTTGGGTATTTTGTCCCCTGTACATGTACCTCTTAGAAACACAATACAGTTTAGAAAAAATGGTATATCTATCCAAAATACATTTCCCACCCTGTGCTCCTTCTTCAGTCTAGGCTTAAACATTGCAGAGGAGCCTCTTCTGGACTTGAAGGGGCAGAGGCCTCCTGACACTAGACCTGGTTGTACGGCAAGGCCAGGAATGGTGGCTCACACCTGTAATCCCAGCATTTGGGGAGGCAGAGGCAGGAGGATCACTTGAGGCCAGGAAATCGAGACTAGCTTGAGTAACATGGCGAGAGTCTATTTTTACTGGGAGAAAAAAAAAAACAAAAAACTTAGCTGGGCATGGCAGCACATGCCTGTAGTCCCAGCTACTCAGAAGCTGAGGCAAGAGGATAGCTTGAGCCCAGGAGGTCAAGGCTGCAGTGAGCTATGACTGCACCACTGCACTCCAGCCTGGGCAATAGAGCAAGGCTCTGCCTCTTAAAAAAAAAAAAAAAAAAAAAAAAAAAGTATCTCAGATTTCCCCACAGAGCTCCTCCTCTAATTTGGGATCTGTACTGTTGAGTGCTGTCCCCAGTGACTGCCACCACGCCTGGCACATTCTAGGAGCTCACCAAATGTTTGCTGGCAAAATGAATGAAAAGACAGGTTCCCAGAGAAGCTAAAAAACCAAGGACCCAAAACAGATCAACATGAGAGAGCTCTGTGACAAGTGCCAGACAGTGATGACTGGGCAGACTAGACTGGGAACATAAGGCTTTGCAGTTAACAGGGCAAGGCTGATCCAATGGCAAGATGGCTGCCAGGAAATCTGGCCCTACTACCAACAGCTGTGTGATCCTGGGCATCTCCCTGCATCTCCGGGCCTGCCTTTCTCCAATTCTCAAACAAAAGAATACAATTAATCAATGGCTCTTCAAGTCCCTCTCCACTCTTAGACCATTTTAAACAGATAAAAGTGAAACTGTTCTGGTGCAAGGAGGGGTGGGAGGCCTAGAGCTTGGCTCATTTCACTATGCCCAACTCTCCTGTCCTCATCAGGGCCCTTCAGACATCCCGTGGTTCTATGGAGCAAAGCTTGAAAACCAGTCTACTGAATGACAAGTCCCACGCACATCTCACATTCTATGATTCTCTGCTGGATGAGGAACCCATTTCCCCACCAATGAGTGTTCTTCCCAGGGTCAAACACCAGGAAGTAGAGTATGATCATTTTAAGAGCATGACATAAGATGTTTCCAAGGGGAAAAAAGAGAACAAATTCAGAATACAGCTAAGGCCAGCAAATCCCATTTGGTTTTCAGTAGGAAAGAAAACAGTAAGAAGCCAAACAATAAAATTTTAATTTTTCCAAATGGCCAGCCAATGTCAGGGGAAGGCCTTTTCTAGTCTCATGTCAGAGCAGCCCATGCTCTTCAAACAGATGAGAAGCGTGAAGTTGGTGGTGCCAATTGCACACTCTTGGCACTCAGTGAATTAATGAAGAAGACCATCAGTGTGGTGAGATGAGCCAGACAAAAAGCTTTAGGAAAGGAAAAGGGGAAAGAGACATTTCACAAGGTCAGCTCCAGCTCCATGTCCTATCTCTAACTCAAGGATACACAGGTAGGGAAAACTGATCTCTGAAGGTCTATATTGGTGGCTTCCAACTTTGGTGCTGGAACTGTCACTGTTCAACACTTCCCTGATGGATGAATAGCTGTTCAGAAACCTGCTCCATGTCACATGTTAGCTTAGGGACAGTCAAGAGGAAGTTAGGGAAGACTGAATAAAAGGGGCTGGGGTGATGCCACTGTTTCTTATTCATTTGGAGCAGAAAGGTCACTTTATTCATTCCATGTGTTTTGTTGCTTTGGTTCTGTTTCAAGGGCAGAGGTTAATTCATTTGACAAATATTCCCCACTCTGTGCCATGCCCTGGACTGTGTATGCTCCCACAAAGCTTAGAGTTCACTAGAGATGATGATGCTACTCACTACTCATCATTTGTCTGACAATTTCCTTTTAAAAAGGAAAAGGGATCGGGCACGGTGGCTCTCGCCTATAATCCCAGCACTTTGGGAGGCTGAGGCAGGAGGATCACTTGAGGTCAGGACTTTAAGACCAGCCTGGCCAACATGATGAAACCGTGTCTCTATTGAAAATGCAAAAATTAGCTTGGCAGGGTGGCAGGTGGAAGAATAGCTTGAACCTGGGAGGCGGGGGGTTGCAGTGAGTCATGATTGCGCCACTGCACTCCAGCCTGGGCGACAGAGTAAGACCCTGTCTCAAAAAAAAGGAAAAGGGTACTTACAGGTAAATACTTAAGTTCACTTTACAGACAGGGAAACAGGTAAGGCCAGGTGGAAGACTAAAAGGTGATTCAGCAGTTGAGAAACCAGATTTCAGACTTTCTCTCTGAGACAATGTGGTTACTGAACTCAGACGGATAGGCTCTTTCAAGTCAGTTCAATAACTATGAGAAAATAATCGGTGTTCTTTAGGCTCAGCATGAAATTTGGAACAAAGGTGGCAGTGGCAGTAGTAATGGCAAATGGATGTGCACCACGTGACAGACACCATGTAAAGTTAGTCCTTGTGATTCATGAAGAAGTTTACAGGTGAGGAAATTGAAGCCCAGGGAGGTCAAGGAATTTGTTTGGAGTTACACAGCTAAAAAATGGTGCCAACATGCTCCACTGTTGCCCCCTAATAAGGTCACACATGTCCCACTCTGTCCAGCAAAGCAACTAATTGCTCCTCTCTGAATAAAGCCCTGGAAGAAACATACCTGCTCTAGGCTAAAGGATACACCTCCCTGCAGAGTCCTCAGATGTTGAATTACAGGTTATTTTAGGGCCAGCCCATCCAGTTTGGACAACAGGGAACATCAAGTTTGGTGATGTGCCTAGTAAAAGCCTGTCTGGATGAGCTTGCCAAGTTATGGGCCTCCTGGGATTTCGATGAAAACTGATTAGTCAAAATTAATCTCCTGGCCAGGCACGGTGGCCCACACCTGTAATCCCAGAACTCTGGGAGGCTGAGGCAGGCAGATTGCTTGAGCCCAGGAATTCAAGACCAGCCTGAGCAGTGTGGTGAAACCCCATCTCTACAAAAAAAAAATACAACAATTAGCCAGGTGTGGTGGTGCACAGCCGTAGTACCAGCCACTCAGGAGCCTGAGGTGGGAAGATTGCTTGAGTCTGGGAGGTCAGGGTTGCAATGAACTGTGAATGTGCCACTGTACTCCAGCCTGGGCAACAGAGCAAGATCTTCTCTTAAAAAAAAAGAAAAAAGCCACTCTCCTGAGGCTCATTAGCAATGAAAGACTTCAAAATGAAAAGAAACTAAAGGCAGACAAATGTCACATGCAAACATTCTTATATTGGCATTGAGTCTCTAGAACCTCATTCTAGACTCAGGTGCCAGTTCTCAACTCATCTACAAGCAGCAATACGTGGAAAGGTCTGCTGTGAAGAAAAAGAAAAGTGGTGGGCATGGTGGTTCATGCCTGTAATCCCAGCACTTTGGAAGACTGAGGCGGGCGGATCACTTGAGGTCAGGAGTTCGAGACCAGCCTGCCAACATGGTGAAACCCATCTCTACAAAAAATACAAAAATTAGCCGGGCGTGGTGGCACACACCTATAGTCCCAGCTACTCAGGAGGCTGAGGCAAGAGAATCGCTTGAACCTGAAATCGTACCACTCCACTCCAGCTTAGGTGACAGAGCAAGACTCCATCTTAAAAAAAGAAAAAGAAAAGCTTCTCTGGACTTGAAAACGAAATAGTAACGCATCTTCTGAACAACACTGAAATTAATCAAGATGAGGAGAAAGAGACCAGAGACCACAGCACAAGGCTCTTTGTGATCTTGGTTTTCCTATCTATGTAATGAGAACACTTTCTGAAGATCTGTCAAATCAACAGTACAGAGCCCCATCCGCTTATGCCTGGAACTGTGCCCCACACAGAAGCACACATACAGTAAACAAAGGACATCGTTTCTTGCTGAGCTCTTACAGATTGAGAGGCCAAGTAAAGGACTGCAGGGAAAGGGCAGAGTGATCACGCCTCCAGAGGAGGGTTCTGAGACAGATGGAGCAGCAAGCCAGGTTCTCTTCGATGGAGGGGCTTCGCTGGTCATGAAAAGACAGGTCAGATTTAGAGAGGCAAGAGTGGAGGTGGCACAGAGACACTGCCATTGTGACAAGGGAGGGAACCGAAAACAACTAAATCAACACTAGCTGGGGAATTTACAACCCCAGCTTTCTTGCTGAGTGATTTACAACCCTTCTCATTTATTTCTCATTGTAATTCATTAAAAAAAACAAAACAAAACAAAACAAGGAATTAGAGACATAGAGAGATGAGTGATTTACCTAAGGCCAAAAGAAGTCTGTGAGCCTCCCTGACTGGCTGAAGGAAAGGAATGTGGAAGGGAAATGAGGTTAGGGAAGGAAGAATGAGATTCAGAAATGGTCCCAGATGCCAGATGTGTTGGGTCCTGCCAGTAGAAGACACAATGGTCATGTCAAATGACAAGTCTCATGCTGATAAGCATTTGACATGGCTAACCAGTCCCTTCTCCCCAAAATACTGTCTTCCCTCAAATGCCGGGATGCCACGCTCTCTGCCTGTCCTCTTATACCACTGTCTGTGCCTTCTGTCTCCTTTGCTTGTTCCTATCCCTCTTCTTCAACACCGTGTGCCCCAGGACTCAGGCTGGTACCTCTTCTCCTCTCCATCTATGCTATTTTGCCTCTTTGATGGTGTCATCCAGTGTCAGGGCTTTGCATATCATCCACGCAGCCCAACCTCTACCCAGAACTCCCAGCACACATGTCCAAATGTCTAACTGACATCTCGGCATCACTGTGGATACACCTAGCAGGCAGCTCAAACTTAACATGATAAAAAAAACTGACCTCCTGCTTCCTTTCCCCAACTGGCTCACCCTGCAGTCTACATCATCTAGTTCCTGTCAGCACCATCTTCAACAGGTCCTCAGGCTAAAAACCTGAGTCACCCTTAACAACATATTCTCTCTGAAATCTATCGGCAAATCCTATTGTGGATTCCAACCTTCAAAATGAATCTAGAATCCGTGAGCAGCTTCTTACCAGCTCCATCACTACCCTCCCAGCTCCAAGCCACCATCACCTCCCATTGAGAGTGCTAACAAAGCTGCTCCCACACTGCTCTGCTGCCATCCCATCTCAGCAACAGCCAGGATGATCCCTTGATAATCTAAGTAAGACAGCAGCACTCCTCTGCTCAACGTCCTCCAACGGTTCCCTATGTTACTCTAAGTAAGAGCCAAA